GAGAAAAGGAAGAATCTATGTGTAATCAAGATTTAACATTGCAAACCAATGTTCTTAATGCTTCCATTTTAAATGTATACCTTGAAAATGTTATTTCTATTTAGCAAAATAATTTTCAAATACATGAAATAATTTTAATATGCCTGTGTTGAAAAAATAACCCTCTGCTTCAAAGCTCTCCCAGCTCATACAATAAATAGCCTGTGGTGCCTGAGAGTTGATGGTGAGTGGTGGAAAGTAGGAATTGGATTTTCATTTATGTTATAAAAATATAGACAAAAATGTCACATGATATTATTAACCTTCCTTGAGAAAATTGTGAGTTAATTACATTTATAGCCACTATGAAAATGTTGGAAACACTCTTTCTCTAATTTGTCCATTTAGCAGTTGGGTTTGGATAAGTGAAGGACATCATGAATCACATCAAAAAATAATATTAAGACAAGACTTGCAGAGGAGGCTATGCAGGCAGATGGGAGAACGATGGCAGCTGAAAATCACCTGGTTGACACCAATCAATAAAAATACAACAAAAATTAAGCGACAGAGAAATGAACCTACAGAAGCAGAAGAGCTTCTAATTTATTTTTGAACTAATGAAAATACAAATACAAAAGAACCTTGGGTGCAGCATGTTCAGACATTTTCTAAACATCAGGTTGTATGTGTCAGTTGCAGTTTTCCAAGGCATCTGAAAATATTCCAGAATGGAATGGATTTGGGCATTCTATCCTGTAGCATCACTGTGAACACAGCCAGCTTATTATATTTTTCAGAATTATTTCTATCCACATGCAAACCTCCTGCTCACTCTATGTTTATTTAATAGAGATGTTCATTATCTTCCCATTGAATCCTTAAGAAATACTGTCTTTCATGGATAGAGGCAGAGGAGGGAAGTTAAGAAGATATAGGAATTGTTCCCAAAGTGAGGATAACTGGGTGAAAAGCATTTGTCCTGTGGTGGTTGGACAGAGAACAAATTCCTGATGATCACACAGACTCTAAAGTGACAAGATGCCTTCCCAAGTCTCTTTCACATGCAAAGATTCCAGAATAGTCACATACATAAACTCAGAGTCAGAAAGTAAAAAATAAAAATGCACAATAAACAAAGATTTAATAACTCCCTCCAACATGGAGAAAGAGCCCCCATTCTAAACTCCCTCAATATGAAATTAATTCCAAGCATGAGGAATGTCTCTGACATCTCAGTCACTATTTTTCAGCTTGTAAATTATGAGGTGTTCACTCCTCTCTGGGGACTGAGCTTTTAATCACACAGATGTCCACTATAAATCCTCTGTTTACTTAGGAGCATAATAGGTGAACTCACAGCATCTTTGTGCTACAATAAATCTGCAGGCTCAGACAGAATGCTCGTGATTACCTTCTAAATTCTTTCAAGGTCATTCTACATGATTTCATGCTACATAACATCCTTTCTCAGTCCATTTCACACTGAGAAAAGATCATGATAAACATTGATTTTTCCCTGCTGGTATTCCTGAATTCCATCACATCACCCCACCACATGCACACTCTGATACATCACATTTTAGTTAGTTGACTCTAAACTCTTGTGTAGAAACTGGAAATACAAAAAGCCAAATATGTTAAGAAAAAAAAATAAAAATTATTTGGTGCAATTTTTTGAAGATTAGATTGAAAAAAATAAGACTAAATACACAAAAAGCCACGCTTCAAATTGCTGAGGAATTTAAATGTTAAAACAAATAACCAAATTTAGATGGAATGTTTGTTTGACATGTTTCTATTAGCAAATGCTCTTCATGAATTATTCAGCATCAAAAAAAGACATGAATGCCTGAAAGAGCATAGAGACACAGCCCTGCATGTGGTTCCTCCAGCATTCTGGCATGAAAGGAGTGCAGAAGGTGCTAATAATACTTTTCTCAAGAGAAAGAGATAAGATTCCTGCAAGAAATATTCACAGGCACAGACAAAAATTAGCTACTTGATTTCTACTGAATCTTATTGCCTCAGGTGACTCATTATCTCAATGACTTCCTGTCTATGCAGAGATTTAAGATTAATGGATTAAATTCCCTAAATTCTTGGTGAATTTATTAGCTAATAAGATACTGCTATTTGCCATTTGATTAAAAATTGTTAAGAGTTCATTTTATCCTTTTATAAAGACCAGAATTATCTTCTTTTTGTGCAAATACCCATTTCTGCCTGCCTTGGGAATAACCGGAACAATGTCCCTCCTGAGATTCTCCTGATGTGCTACTGCCATTCCTCATTAAAAAGCACAACAGTTTGTGCCATGGAAGGGGAGAATCACAGATATGGATAGTCTCATCTCATATCCTGAGTGGGTGGGACCCCCAAGGATCATGGGCACAGCTCCTGTCCCTGCCCAGACCCCCCAACAATCCCCCTGGGCATCCCTGGCAGCGCTGGCCAAGCGCTCCTGGAGCTCTGGCAGCCTCAGGGCCGTGCCCATTCCCTGGGGAGCCTGGGCAGTGCCAGCACCTCTGGGGGAAGCAGAACCTTTCCCTGCTCTGAGCCTGCCCAGCTCCAGCCTCTCCCTGGGTGCTGTCCCTGGCCCAGAGCAGAGCTCAGAGCTGCCTCTGCAGCCCCGGGGAGCTCTGCCCTCAGCTCCTCTGCTGCAGATGAACCAGCCCAGTGCCCTCAGCCCCTCCTCCAGGCCCTTCACCATCTTCATGGCCTCTTTTCGAAACTCTAATGGCTTAATGTCTTTTTTTTTACCTCGTGGTGCCTAGAGCTGCCCAGCACTGGAGGTGAGGCTGCCCCACCCCAGAGGGACAATCCTTCCCTGGCCTGGCTGGTGCTGCTGGCCCTCATCCCGCAGGACAGGGATTTCCCTCCCAGTTCCAGGGAACTGCTGACTCAGATCCACCTGGCCATCCACCAGAACCCCCAGGTCCCTTCCCATGGCCACTCCCCAGCCTCCCATCCCCAGTCTGTTCATACACCCAGGTGCCCCATCCCAGGTGCAGAATCCAGCACTTTCCCTTGTCAAACATCACACCACTGGTGAGTCACAGCCCTCTCATTTGTTAAGGTCTCTGCAAGGCCTCCCTGCCTTCCAGTCCACAACTCCTCCCAAGCTAGAATCATCTGCTACCTTACTCAATATTCCTTCAACTTGTAAAAATGGTTTGGTAAAAATGAAATTGTTTCAGTTTCCATGGGACTACTTTAGGAATGGGGCTTTATTCCTGGTGTTTCACTACTCACATGCTGTTTTTTACTCACTTTTTGCCATACCAAGCAACACCAATACCAGACCTGTTTGTGGAACATCCCTCTGTGTGAGGGAAGACACACTTCTTCTCACCATCCAAAGAAACCAATCCTTCCACAGGGTATTTCTCAGCTTCAGTGACAAGTTTAGGAACCTTTGAGCTGGTGCTTGTAGATCATAATGTTTAATAGCAACCAACAGATTTGGCTAAACCCTTTTTAGAACCCATTTACACTTCCAGGCTCCACAGTCTTCTATGGCACTTCAACTAAACTTAACAACTATTGTAGAAAAGGTAGTTCCTTTTATCTGCTTGAGACCAGATGTATTTGGGATAGTCTGTAAGTCTGAGACAGTTTTTTCATTTGTAATTTAAGGATAGATTATCAATACCTTTCAAATATATCAGAAAACAGTATTTAACTAAATGAAGGACAGAATTCAAGTCCTTGGTGATGAACAAATAGCAATTCCAGCACCCCGGAAAAAAACATTTAACTCCACAACTTGTATTTACTCCCCTTCAGCATGGATGTATGCTCTGAATAAAAAGTGATGCATTTTCTGTCAATTTCCACGGCCAAAAAATTTGTTTCACAGGTGTTCTAAGTTGAAGACTGCCCTCCAAAGCAGATGTGGGTCTTGGATACACAATGACAATATGGAATGGCAACACTGACAGCCACTAAAATCGAGCTGAGTTTATCACAGCTTCAGAGAGTCAAGGTCTGGGGCTCCAGGTGCTGGTAACAGCAGCACCCAGTGAGTGACACCTTCAAAGGGGACTGGAGAGCTCCAGTGCAACACCACGAATTTGACAGCAGCCACCCCAGCTGATCTGAGTCTTCTCCTGCCTAGATCCCCCAGAAACCTCTGTGTTAGTCACCCTGTTCCAATATTAATAAAGAAAAGTTTATGAAGAAGACATTTTTAGAACTTGAAATACCTTCTGAAGTTGTTTTTCACATGTTAAAGTGGATTAAAGAAATAGCAGCAGAGGTTTGATAGGGTGGAAATTTATAGTCTCAGGATGATGGGGGAAGTACAATCATTGCCTAGTTTATTATCTGCAAGCACCCATTTTTAAAACTATGAATATTTAATTAAAACTATGACTGAAAAAAACTATGACTGAAAAAAACAGGACCATTCCTGTTTTGGTCAAGGTTCATTTAGTATCATAGACTCATAGAATGCTTTGAGTTGGAAAGGACATTGAAGATCATCTGGCTCCACCCCCTGCCATGGCAGGGACACCGCCCACTGTCCCAGGCTGCTCCAGCCCCAATGTCCAACCTGGCCTTGGGCACTGCCAGGGATCCAGAAGCAGCCACAGCTGCTCTGGGCACCCTGTGCCAGGGCCTGCCCACCCTGCCAGGGAACAATTCCTTCCCAATATCCCATCTAAATTTCCCCTCTGAAATTTTGAACCCATTCTGCCGTGTACTGTCACTCCAGTTCCTGAAAAACAGTCCCTCTCCACCTTCCCTTGTACCCCCTTTTGATACTGGAATGCTGCCATCAGGTCTCAACCTTCTTTTCCCCAGTCTGAACAGCCCCAATGTTGTCAGCCTGTCAAAGATTTGAAAATCAAGAATGGTTTCAATCTGGTTACTGATGTGATCCATTATGGTCTTTACTGGGAATATTTTAGAATCCTACCTGGGTTAAAGCATTTGCAGGACCAGCACATTCACTGAGTGATCAGAGATCACAACTGATGACAAACACTCCCCTGGATGTATAGAAGTATGTAATATGAATTACATATATGAAGTATGTAATTTATAGTTATTGCTTTGGCATTTTTTGTAGTCCTTGACTTTGATCCTGGAATGGATGGATGCTTTGCAGGTGCAGCAATCAGATTTTCTTTTCTGAACCCTGTCAGCTTCCTAGAGCTGGAATTACAGCAGAGATTTCTGCCCCTGTAGAAAATGAAGAGATGCATAATAAATCTATAGAGAAATCTATACTGAGTATTTTATTAATCTAGATTCCCAGTCAATTTTAGGAATTTGCTCCTACTGTGTCAGAGACACATTCCATATCCTACACTGAAATTCAGTGTTGGAATACGTGCATTTTGAGATAGAGTCCTGAACACACAAACAAACAGACACCACTATTCCTCTCAGAGCAGGAGCTTTCTTTCCTCATCCTATCAAATCTCCCACTGCAGTCAATTGTCTTAATCTGATTTACACCTTGGCATAAAACTACTGCACACAGAGCCCACCAAATAGCCAAGATTCTGTCTGAATAAAGGCAGCTTTGTGTAAGATCTGTCTGGAGCCACAGAAACCACTGATGAAGGAATTTGTGATGTAGGTCTTGTGTTATCACACAGGCACATCCCTGGCATTGGGAATAGGGGCAAGGAGGGTTAAACCAAATTACTCCCTCACAAGAAAGATTTATGAAGCAGAAGAGCTCCAAACTGTGGATGAGAGACCCCACATGGCAGTGGGAAAACAATTTCTTCCTAGCCAGGAACCCATCCACAAGCTGAAAAGGATCCTGCCCAAGCTGTAGGGCAAAGAGTGAGACAATTACTGCTGAAAAGTGGAATTCAAGCATTGCTGAGAGTTACAGTTGGAGCAGCAGGTCCTGCAATCCTTTGAAAGGAGGCTGGGAAGAGATAATGCAACAGATAAGGAGGGAGAGGTGTTCACTGACACATCAGTTCACATTCTGCTGCTATGCAATTTTCTCCCCAGTTTTGAAAAATGCTTCCTGGAGGTGAACAATTCAGTCTCAAATTTTATGCACTGGAGGGCAAACCAGGCAGCCTCATGAGGTTGTAAAGATGGGGGATGCAAAATTAAACCCTGTCCTAACAACTTTAGCTCAGTTAAACCTTTCATAATAATATGGAGCTCTGAAACTTTTAAGGGAAAAAAAAAAAATTGAATGGTTCCCAGGAGGATTGATTCAATGAATAAAAGTAATAAGATCCACAGCCCTGGGGAAATTCAGCAAGTTTCCTGTGTTCAGAGACTGAAAAGGCCCCTTTACAGAGCACATGAAGAATAGGATGTAATTTTATAAATCTGTAGTGAAATTCAAAGTGAAAACGCAAGAACATTAAAAACCATGCAGCAGTTCCTGGCAAAGAACTCCATACCTTGAAAAGAAGCTGATGTAACTCTAAATTATTTTGAGAAGGCAAGTAAAAATGTTCTTCTGAAGGCCATCCTTAGCCACAGATAATTGTAACATGCCCATATCCCCTGGTGATGTCTGGAACACAAGCGATTCAAACCATTTCCAGAGAATTCTGGTGATGTACCAGAAAATACATCAACCCCTTGAGCAATTATTTCACTCCAGTGCAGTCTGTGTTCCAATCTCCCACCAAGGCTGGTCTCCCAAGTGGTTACCAGAATACACTCCACCATTTGGAACATTTATTTCTCTCAGTTATCTCTTGCTATGAAATTCAATATCTGTGGCTTTCTTTCTGCAGAGCCCAGCTCAAAGAGCAGATCCCAGTGATTCTGTGACAACAGAAGAATGAGCATTATTAGTAATAAATCTTTGCTTCCCCTCCAGACCATATTCCTGGCATCAGCATGAGCAACTTCTGATATAACTACAAGTGCCCAAGAAAATAGCTGTGGCCAGTTATCAATATTATCATTTCTGAAACAGTTTTGCAGTGATACAGTGAAGGGTTTTCTGTGACTTATCAAGTTTCTTTCTAACTTCCAAAGGAAGCAAGGTACAAGGGCAGAAATTTTATCTCTCTTGGTGTTTCAAACAGCATAAAGTTTGAGGATATTGAAGTCAGGCAACAAGATAGAGCACAGAAATGTGCAGCTTTAAAATTCAGCTCCACTTGATGGTCTGGGTTTATAGCAATGCCCAGGTTTGTGGGGCTGTGGTGCAGCTGTGGACCCCATTTGGATCCTTGCTTATTTTATTTCTCAGAGTTAAAAGAATTTTAACATTATATAAATGACACCTCTTTGGCTCTTAAATCACTTGGCTGTCTATAACTGCTGTAATAAATGCTTCCTATTCCACTGCTACAAAAAATGGCCCAGGCAGTTTTCTCCATTTGGCCATGGAACTCACTGGCCCTTGATTCATTGCACGCTTGTTACTTATTTGCAGAGGCTACAAGGCAAATGTGCTAGATGAGAATAGTTCTTTAATGTAAAGCATTAAACTATAAGCTCACCCTCAGGATTTGACTGCCAATAGTAGTAAATGGATCCCCAAGATAACACAGGAGATGTTACTATTTAAAAATAAGTTGTTTGATATTAATTTTTTTATTTTACAGCAGATTTCCAACCCTATCCTCCTTCTTTCAGTGATTTAGACCATACCCTTCCCGTGCAGGTTTGTATGGATGCTGGGAACAAAACTCGCCTCATTTTACAGATGTATATCAGATCATATTCTTTTATATTTTTTCTTTATTTTTGTAACTGCAGGGCTTCTAGCTCAGGTGTTCCAACAGCTCCTATTAATGCAACATATATAATTTTGAATTTACAATTTTGAAAGATCTCACCCAGAGGGTAGCACTGATATCTTTTTAGTGCATGGACGGCAGCTGAGGGTAAGAAGGGTAAGGTTCAAATTTTTAGACAGCCTTGTTCATCCTCTAGTTCAAGGGCTACATTAACATTGGAATATTTTTCCTGAGGACTGACAGATGTTTGCAGACTGTTCAGGAGCATCCCCTGAAATACAAGATCTCCCATCCCACTTAATGATATTCTGCTCTACCTAAATTATCCCAGAGCCAAGAGCTCACCTGGGGGTTCCCAGATTATGAATCACAGCAAAAGGAGCATATCCATTCCCATCTTATAAAGAGCCCAAATCATTTTGCCATCAGTGTGGCTTTTGTACAATTTAAGTAGGAAAAAAACAGATTGTCAAGCTATTCAAGCAAATCAGAATCCAGTATCATAGAATGAAGTGCTACAATTAAGCTGACAAACAAAAAATCCCAAACAACCTAAATCCTGTAAGCCAACATTTCAAATCCTTATGGGACATCATAAACCAGGGCTTTTCTATACTGCTCAAGTTAGAAAGAAACTGTTAGAAAAAACAGTTCAAATGTTAATAAGACTATTTGATAGAGCATATATATTCCCAACATCACAAAACTCTTCACTTTCTGTTTTCTCAAAATCACTTTTCAAGCGACAGAATTTGAAAAAAAAACCCAACAAAGACCCCAACACCTCAAAATATGCAAGTGATCAATATGTTTTAATAATTTCATTCATTATCTTACTCATTTGCTTGAAAACCCCAGCAGAGAAATTCAACTGATGTTTATAAACTCAGTCATCTGCTCTTATTATCAGCTAACATTTATCACTAGACAGGGCTTGAGCCTTCCAGGTGTGATTCTGAATCAATATATGTATATTAACAGGAAACCTGAAACAATTAAAAAAAAATAAAGTTATGCCAGTATCCTCCAAAACCTGTCAACTAAAGAAGAAAAATATTACTTTTTCTTTCCCTGTAAAGAGCTGCAACAAAAATGTAATTTTTAAAGTATCTGTTGGGAAAGATATCACTACAGAAATTTAAATTCTTTCAATTTGTTCTGTATTGGAAGTAAAGCTGCCAAATGTAAAAACAAGACTGGTTTGGTTGTGTTGATGCAGTGTTTTCTACTGTCAGCTGGATGTCTGATGACACTTGGAAATACAGCCAAAATCTGACCTTAGGTAAGGAAAAAAAACCCTCCAAATCCCAGCTATTGCAGACTTCTTCCCCCAGAAGGCTCACTTTTTATGATAAGTTGTAGTAATTCAGTGAGCTGCAGCAACCTGAGAAAGATTTGAAGGAATGTGACCATTTTCTGCAACGCCAAGTTTTAAAATTCCCTGGAAGAGGAGTACCATGGATTCCAATCCTTGGGGAATTATTGCTTATTGTAGAAAAAGATCAAGCAATAAGATAAAGGGCAGCAAACACAGAATTTGTTCTGCTTGAGGACTGAAATGGTGTCTCAATTTCTAAATTTAACTGCACCAACTTGTTCCTAGCTCCCTTATCGAAATCCAGTGATAACTAAGGAATGCTCCACATGGATGTGCCAGTGCAGGGTGTGCCATGCTCTGGGGTTTGGGGAGCAGGATGTGAAGGCGCTCAGGAAAAATCCCAGAACCACAAACAGATGAGGAAACCAGAAATGTTGGGAGTCCTGGCTGTGACACAAATCTGACCAAAGACAGAGCACTGCAATCTCTGCTGGCAGGGACAGGGGAAGGAGGGCACTGCAGGCCATAAAGCAGGAAATCCACAAAACACAGGGAATGGAGAGTGCTCTGGAAACTCCTGCACTGCCACAGTAAAAGATCTAAAGTGCGTCAGGGTTCACCTTACTGAGGCTTTGTTGCTCTTACAGATTAACTCATCCTGAGCTTGGGGCTGAATTTCCCAACTGAACTCTGTATAAATTGTTGTTTAGCAGCTATTACAGGGCACAGTTAAATGGAAGAAAATACCAGCATAGTAAACACAAACTCCAATATGCACCACAGAGAAGTCACTAAAGCCATCATTTCAGCCATCTCAGACTAGCAGCAGTTTGGAAAACATCCCCACGGAGGATGTGCTGGAAGAACACAGAGATGATAAACATTACCCACAGGAAGTTCTCAGGTATACAAGATTCTAAATATTAACTAAAACCTGACTACTATACCAAGAATAGTTCCTGAAATTTGATCAATAGCTTTTTTTCATAATACTTCTTCAAAATGCATAGGAAGTTTTGATTCCTTTGTTTCTAATAATAGAAAATTGAATTCTATTGTTTTATTTTGTCAGGACACAAAACAAGGAAACAAACCCTTACTTAGAGCATTTCACCTCCCTGCTTATTTTCAGAACGGATGGAAAGGTGTTGATAATATTCAGAATAGCTTAGGGTAAGATTAGGTTAAATCACAGTTTGATTTTCAGCAGCACAATTCCTCCAGCAGTTCCCACACAGATCCTCCAAAATTACCACTCACTGGTAACCACATTACTGAAATCCATATCAAATAACATTTCTTCTGCAAATAATGGAGAAATTAAGTTAGAAAGCAGTTGATCTTGTCATACATCATCCAAATTGAATGTTGGAAACCTTGTAAGAAGTTGGGCATTCTGGCCAAATTCTGCCAAATTCTTCACACCTCTCTATTTGTAAATCAAGTGTAAAACAATCTTAGATTTGGGATCCCAGCCAGAACTAAAGGCAAGGATGAAAATCTAATAACTGGTTCGTAAGTCTTTTATTTATTTGTGTGTTACTTTAAATTACTATGGTCTCAGTGTGGCTGAAGACAGAGAGGAGATCCTGCTGCTGTGCTCTCCATCACATAAGTCTGTCCAGTTTGCTTTTTCCAGCAGTGTAAAATGAAGTAAATATTTCTCACCAGGAGCAAATCTAAGTGAAGTGCACTTAAAACTAATTTTTTAATTGCACTTCATGGAGATCCCAGCTTTGAGTTCTGTAGCAGCTTTTCTCCAGAAAATCTCTCCAATATCAGGCAAATTCACTTAAGGACATGCCTTGTTTAATTCAAATTTGACAAAAGTAAAGTCTTAAACAGAAAAAAAAATAAAATTTGTTTTATCAAAGTTAAGAAAAACACAACTGTCATGTACCACGGTGAAATTAGGGACACCAGTGCACTGTAAAGGATATTTTAGACCCGCCCTGACCCATTCCTCACCAAAGAAACTAGAAACACCTACATTCTCAATTTAGAAAAACCAGAATATTTTAACCAAATTTGGCCTATCCACAGCATATCAGGGACAGTATTTTGGAACAAGGTGGAGTCACTTCACTGGAGTCATGTGCTATGATGAGAAATTCCATATAAAGAGAATTGATAATAGGAGATGTAGTTACTGTGAAATTAGGAGATTAGTGAAAGAAAATGGCAAGTTTATAGATGATACAGATATCTGCCTTCCTTCCTTTCCTTCCCATTTGAAATTATGGTCAAAGTCATCGATTAAATTGGTGGAAAAATCGTATCCTGACCAATCTCTTGTTTTGATCACTTGGAGTCTAAATTACTCACTAAATTACATGTGGTATTCTTACAGAAATGAAGACTAGTGTGATTCTCTGTCTGCTTTTATGAATGAATTAATCTGTGTAACAGTTAATTCCCCTTGCAGATATTGAGATAAATTCAAGTGAAAAAAGTGTATCTCAGATTCTTCATTCGTCTGATAATTAAGTCTGGGTCACCTGTCTCTGGGTCATCATTTAGTACAGTTCTGCAGGTGAGACTCAGATCATGTTCTGTGTTCATGTTCTGTATTTTAATATAGAATCAAAATAAGAAATTAAAAGGTCCTAGTTGTTCCCTCCCTTATCTGTCATTGCCTGACCATATGTGTGACAGCTTGGAAGGGAAATTCTTTATTCCTTTCTTATATTACACCTGTTATTTAAAAATCATTACTCCCTACCTTGAGGTCTAGGAGAAAAACATTCATAGGCCAGGATTCAGATCCATGTCCAGACTCTTCCTCTAGTCCTGCAAGTGTAACACATAAATAAGTTTATTTCTTTTTGCTTCCTTGGCAAATTCTGCATGAGATTTCCGAATAATGCCATGGTTATCCCCAAACATTTCTCAGACATTCTGCTGACAGGGGGTTGCACAGGGATAAGAGGGAGCATGGAGAAGTTCTGTGAGTGGAAGTTCATCAGCCATGACACTAAAGAGGGGAGGCAGAGGACTCTTGCTCTGTCTGATGCAGGACCAACAGAAGCAAAGTACAATTGTTCAGCTCACAGTAAACGAAGGCAGATCCATGTGAACCCACCCAGGAATTCCTTCTGGCTCTGCCTCCCAGTCATTCCTCACAGCAGTTCTGGGCTCTCAGGTGTCACATCAAGCCATCAATAAAACTCCTCTTCATCACAAAACCCTCCCAATATTGATAAAGCCTACCTTCTCCTTGCAACTGCTGGGTTCACTTAATGAATATTTATCTTGCACAGTCCAGGAGAAAGTCTTTGTGATCATTCACACAGTGTTTTAATAAAACTTTATTTTATTTATTTCACTAGAAAAGGTAGTATTCTTATCTGAACAGTTGTTCCATGTGGTTATTAATTAAAATCCAATGCTATTTGAGTAATGTTAAGTTCTGACTGTTTCCTTCACTGCATTACAAAGAGAGCAGGTTCTGATTGTTCATGTGAATGAGGATATATCCTTTAAGACAAATTATTAGATGAATATATAATATGGCAAGGACCCTCCCAAATCTCTGAATTAAAAACAAAGCAAAGAAAAAGTCAACTTCACTGATTTACTTATAGTGTTAAACTTTAAATTTTATCTCCACAATTATAAGAACCCCAGTGGAATAATTAATTCTTTGCAGAGTATATTTCCCATTTTGCCTATAAGACAACTTGTCCAATAAAATTATGACAAAAAAATACACCTGTTTCATAAAGAAAGCTCACAGGACTGTAATATCAGAATATTTGAGAATTAAGCAGCCATTTTCTGTGATTTCTCTGCGCACAAGAGCAGCAAAACTGAACATATGAATGCTCCAGAAAAGAAAGCAAAATCAAAGTCTATCCTGGTCTGATCACTCATTAGAAGCAATAAATAACTACAATTTGCATTTTATATTTATTTATATTTATATTTATATTTATATTTATATTTATATTTATATTTATATTTATATTTATATTTATATTTATATTTATATTTATATTTATATTTATATTTATATTTATATTTATATTTATAGTGTCTTCCAAATGCAGTAGAAACTTCAGAAGCCATTCCATGAGTTTTATTTTGCTACAGGTGGAGCGGTAGGCAAGACCTGCACTCCTTTGCCACAGGGAAGGGATCTCTTTGCTGCTCCAGCTGCACAGACAATCAGCTGTACCCTTCCTTCCCTCCTCTCCTTCCCAAGACTTCAAGCAGATTAATTGTTTGAACTATATTTTCCATGATACCTCCCTTTTTGGCCACCCACATTAATGTTAGTTCTGAAAAAACCCATGTTCTCAGTAAAAAAATATTCAGGAAAACAATCTTAGAATCACAACCTTCCAGGCCAAGCCCTGGGGACTTCATTGCCCTACGAGCAGCAGGTGCTGGAAGATATTGCAGTCCAACATAGAGCAGCACTGAGGAATTCTCGGTGTGGTTGATATGTTTCCCAAATATTTGTCTTTACACTTAGTCCAAGGCCTCCTGGGAATAGGTATCCCCAGAGACATCAACAGTAAAACAAATCAAGTGATTCAGCAACTGCCCCTTGAATGAAAAATGAGTTTATGGCCAACTCATTCCTCAAAGGCCAATTCCTGCTGTATAAAAAATCACAGCATAAAGAACTGTGGCTATTTGTCTCCTCATGACTCTGCCATAGAGCAGCCAAGACTGTGCTTTCAACACTTTAGAATCAGCTTGCCAAATCATTATGCTGTCACTGACAGGAAATCTTCATTTTCAGGTGTTGCGAATACTGTGAGGAGAAAGCTGCAAAGTGCACTGAAACTCAGGGTGACACCAGAGGGACTGTACAGCACAATTTTGCACACACCCTAGGGAAAAACTAAGGAGCTGGTTCTTCAGTCCAGGAGAAATGATGCAAAAGCACTTCCACACTTTTTGTTTTAGAAAACAAAAATACAATAATAAAAGCTGATTTTGTTCCACCTGAAACAAGGTGTGATGTGGTTACTTTGTAGATGCTTGCAAAAATCAAATGATGTCATAGGAAAACATTTGCACTTTGCTACAGGAAGGCTTGTCCAAAATTCTCAGCTGGATTTTGTCTAGGGTTTGACAGACAGAACATGCTATTTTTTCATTACATCATGAACAAGTAGATGTTTTCTTGCCCAAAGAAAGAACTGTCCCATTACCTCAGCTCCAGTGGCATTTCAGTCCCTCCATTGCCTCATTTTGTGTGAACCTTTCTCATATCTCTTGAGAACTTATTTGTGTCATACAAAAATTATAACAATTTAATGAGAAACACTTGGCTCACCCATAAATAGTTTTCAAGTTTTATATTATTTAAAAGTGCATCATTGGGTTATTAGTTAATTGTAAACTTGGTTCTACAGAGTATGAAATTCATTTCAACAGGTTAATTTCTGTAAAAAAAGGTAGTGATGATGATGACAATGATGATGATGACGACGACAACAACAACAACAACAACAACAACAACAACAACAACAACAATAATAATAATAATAATAATAATAATAATAATAATAATAATAATAATAATAATAATAAATCCCATCCATTATGGAATTTAGCTGCCCCTAAGTCAGACAGGCCACTTGCAAGCTCTGTCCTGTAACATTGGTGGACATAATTTTCAAGGAATAAAGCTGGGTTTCCATTTCATCCCTCCTCTCCCTCAAATGCATTTTGAATTCCACACTAAAAAGAGACATGAAGTGCTGGGAACAAAATCAGATTCTGTAGAATTAGGAAAGAAACCCTAACAGAGGTTAGATAGGAGCACAAGACATGCACTAATCTTCTACTATCCCCCGAAACAGCCCACAGTTACATCTTTCCCAGGAGACAGTCATCAGCTCTGTGCTAAACTGTTCCTAAATTTGGAGACTCCTTAAGTCCCTGGGGATTCTCTTCCAGTGACAGCCTGCCCAGCCATTAGTGCACTTTTCTCTTTGTGTCTCACCTAATCTGTGCTCGTTAATGCATTATTTCCGTCCTCTCCAGGGTGGATGGGATGGAATAATGAACACACACCTGCTCTTTTACAATAAAAGTTGTTGAATAATAAAACTGAAACTCTCCTGTGTTTAGTGCTCTTCCCCTTAGGCTAAACAACCTTAATTCATTTATATTTTTATTCAAAAGCTGCTCTGATATCTTTTAAAGTTGTTTTGGGAGCTTTCTTCAAATGGGCCACAACTACTTGTCCTCCTTCATGAAGGACACATGCCCCAGACAGGACACATTCCTCCAGGTTGCTCTCCCTCATCCTAAAGAGAGGAAAAATACTGCTTCACTCTGAGTCCACAGAACTGTGGAAATTTATAGCTCAGTGCAGATGAGACAGGAAATAAACAGATGAAATAACTGGTCTGCCATTACAGCCTTACCCACTGCTTTTCTGAGATGCCCCTCTTTGATTCCAAGGATCAAAAGGTATCTCCTGTTTCTCAGATCTAGAATTGTTTGGAATTTGTCAGAAAATGGCTTATTCTCACCTTGATAAAAAATGAATAACACTTTTTTCTTTTTCCTAATTCTTCTAAAAAAGGAAGTGAAAATCCTTTGGATGAATAAATTCAATTTATGCCTTAGTAGATCCTTCTGAAATGCCTTCTTAACAAAAAGAATTATTTTGCTTTTTCCTCCTTTGTTTATTATTTTATATGAAACACTTCTTTTGCCTACAAATATAAAATTTTATTTTACTTTTTTTATTACTAATAACACTGGATTTGGTACAAATATTTTAAAAGTAATTTTGTAAAGTTTGCTGTCCACAGAAAAGTTACAAAATATATTGCACTTCACACCTATGCTATGAACTCCACAAGCTATTAAAACAGCTTGAATACATCTTCAAATAAAAAAAGCACACTAACAAAAAATAATTATTTTCATCCATTTCCTAGGCAATTTATGTCCATAGTCTTTTGGGGCTTGGCAATTATGTAAAAGTGTATATAAAATCAAATAATAACAAAGGTGTCTCAGGAATCATTACAGCGGTTTGAATATACTTTATGCCAGGTTGACTTCACCCATCATCTGGATATCAACTCAGAGGACTCCAAAAATATAGCTGAAGGAACATTAATTATTCTGCAGGTATGTACTCAGTATTATCCTGTAAAATACCTATTTCATTCCAGATGTTCTCTAGTTCTCATCTTCCAGATGTTCAAAGTTCTCTAAAAAACCACCAGTATGAGGTCTTGAGCTGATCCAAAATGCAGATCCCTGCTTCAGGGAAATCTTCATTTTGTAATCCCTCTTACAGTTAAAAAAAAAAAAATTAAAACAAAGAAAAGTATGACATTAAAAATCAGAATATGCTCTTCCAGGCCAATGTTGTGCATTAATTATGGCACTTTTGGGTATCCCTGCTGGTGAGCAGGGACAGTGGTGAGTTACTGGGAACCTGGAAAGACACCACAGCTACAGATCCTCATTTCACATGTCACAATCAAGGGTGAAAATTTTAGCCTGAAACCACACTGAGGTTACCCACTACTTCTCTGGGTTTGACTTTTTTGAGGTCACAAGAGCTGCCACTCTCCTCACATGACATCAACCAGAAAAATAAACATTAAAGGGAGTGTGGTGCAGATATTTTTATTTTTAGCTTTTGTGAGAACTACACTGTAACAACATTGCGGGACTTTGGAGGCAGTTTGAAGCCCAGGAACAGTAAGTGGCTGTCAGGTCATATGTCTTAAAATGTCTTGTTTTGTACCTAAACCCAGGTTTATGTGCAAAACAATATTTTTTCTCTCAGTGCCTTCAGTGAACAGTGCCCAGAGCAGGAACTTCCACAGCACAGAGCCCATTCCCATCGTAGACCCTTCATCAAGGAGGGCCTGCACAGCCAGGACATTTCGGTAATAAACCCACTTAGTCCAATATGTGGGGAGAGGTTTGCTCCCTGTTCACACCTCTGTGTAGGGCATATTGCATGCAATGGGATTTGTTCTTTTGCATATCTTCATGCATGGCCATGCATTTAGACAGGACATCCTGTGCTAAATCAGATGTAATTTAATCAGAAGTAACTTAATCCTGCCTTTTCTCTCTCCACATTGGGAGTCTAAACTGCCCCATGGGAACTCAAAAAGCACCAGGTTGGGTCAGGCTGGAGGGGCCCACAGGGGCTCCTCTGGTGCCACCTCCCTGCTCCAGCAGGGCCATCCCAGAGCCCAGGGCACAGCAGTGTGTCCATGTGGCTCTGCAATATCCCCAGAGAGGAGACTGCACAGCCTCCCTGCACAATCTGCTCGGGGCTGGGCACTGCCCAGGGCACAAGTTCTGCCTCCTGTGCAGGGCAGGGCCTGGGCTCAGCCCCTGCCCGTGGCTCTGGTGCCATTGCTGGGCCTGGAGCAGAGCCTGGGCCTGCTCTGCCCCTCCTGTACCCAGGGACAGCCAGGGACAGCCAGGGACAGCCAGGGACAGCCAGGGACAGACACAGGGACAGACACAGGGACAGCCAGGGACAGACACAGGGACAGACACAGGGAGCGACAAGGACAGACACAGGGACAGCCAGGGACACCCAGGGCTGCGGGCCCCTCTCAGCTGGGGCTCCTCTCCAGGCTGAGCAGCCCCAGCTCCCTCAGCCTCCCCTGGGCACCGAGATGCTCCAGGCCCTTCCTCAGCTCCAGGAGCTCCTGTCCCTGCTCTGCTGAGGATCCGGAGCTGGACACAGCACTCCAGAGGTGCCTCCAGGGCTGGGCACAGGGGCAGGATCCCTCCCTGACCTGCTGCAAAGGCTCTTCCCCATGGCCCCTTGGCCCCAGGACACTGCTGGCTCAGGGACAGCTCCGTGTCCCCAGCACCCCCAGGTCCTTCACTGCAGGGCTGCTTCAGCCTCTGCTCATATTGGGGTTGCACCTCCCCAAACTCCCGCAGTTTTGTATTATAAGTCAGCTGAGCCAAACACGATGTACTTGATATCCTGAGGATTGAGAAAACTGTAACTAGAAATGGTGCTTCAAATCTACTCTGAGTGAGGTCACAAGGAAAGTATTTCTCTCCAAATTTTCCATCAGATATTACCTTGCCCTTGAGGGCTTACCTGAAGATGAGAGGCATTCAATTTGAGTGTTGTTGCTTTTAATCAAAGGTTGTCAATCACATGATATTATTTCAACCAAAATTAAACAGAGGCTCACCTGCGTCAGCTCGCTGGTAATGGACAAGTGTTTCATATGTTGCTTTATTTGCATTTAAGTCCGAGTTTTCGTAAAAATACCCTGGGGTTTTAGGATTTTTACCAACAGCCAGTTATCACTTCCAAAGTGCATTGTGTCCTAATGTAAGACTTTTTGAAGTTAATATACTGCTGACATTAAACGGAAAGATCTTCTTTTTTTCTGTAAGTTCAGAGTGAAAAGGCAATATTAAAAAAATAATATATAAAGAAGCTTTATAGAAGTTCATAGAAGGTGAAAACAGCTCAAAACAATAATTTTCTATGGGCTTTTTGTTAAGAGAGAGAAAAAATTGCATTAGAATGAATATATTTCACTTGTTTCTTCTGTTCAGTGTTACACTGTTTGTGTACAAACTAAATAATACATACCTTCCAATGGTCTCATTACCTTTTGTTTAGTTATCCTACAATGAAATTATCTGTAATTAAAATAATGGACAACAAATCCTACCCTTTGTTTTAAATCTGCTCCTCAGGTATCTGAAATTTTCCAGCTCAAATGTGTTAATTAAAATGTTTTCCTCTTACAGTAGCATCTGTTTCCAATTAAGGGATCACTATTCAGAAAGTCAAAAAGAATCATCTTTTTTACTAGAGCAAGAGTAAAATAACCCACTGTACAACTATGAAAATAAAAGTGCTCACACTTGCAATTATCCGAAAGGCTGAATTAGGCTGGAGACTGCAGTTATTAAGGACGTCATGCAGAAATGTGCTCTTTAGCACAAAACTTATTCTAAATTCTATCATCCGCTCATAGAGTGGTTTGAGTTGGGAGGGACCTTAAAGCTCATCCAGTGCCACCCCTGCCATGGGCAGGGACACCTCCCACTATCCCAGGCTGCTCCAAGCCCCAGTGTCCAACCTGGTTGTCTTAGTTTGAAAGACAGGTGTCTGCTAGGTAAGGCAGGAGCCTCCCTTGGAATTGAGAATGTAAACCATCTCCCTCTGAATTATTTTAATTTTGAAATTAAGGGGCTCTCAGGCAAATATAGGAATAACAGTTCTTTACTAGTATGTATAACGAGGCAAACAAACAGCAACAACTCCGGCAGTAACAACACAGAGAAGCAGGAGCCCCGTGACAGCCGGCTCGGCCGCAGGCACTTCCCGCGGTGCAGTTCCGGGCACGGCCAGCAGGGGCGCGGCAGGATTCACCGCTGCTGCGGGGGGCGCTGCTCGGGGGGCTCGCGGTAATGGCGGCCCAGCCCACATGGGAAGGGGTGGAAGTCTTCACAAATCCCCCCTGGGGCGGTCGATCCCGGTGTGTCAGCAGGATTCTTGGAAAACAGAAAGCTGGAAAACAGAAAGCTGGGCAGGCAGGGATGAGAAAAAATCCCGGACTGGTGAACAAGATGCATTGGAAACTGTGGGGCTGTGGCTGGAACCGCGGGATGTCTCAGCAGGCAGGGGGTGCAGGGCCACCATGTCGCAAAAAACTCAGAGCAGTGCTGAAGAAGCAGCGGGGGCAGGACAGTGGCAGCCTAGCCCCCAGCAGGGCAGGGAGGGGTAAGCCCAAGACCCTGGACAGCCAAGCAGATGGGGCTAGGTCCCTCTTTTAGTGAGTGTGTGTTAACAAGGTCCCAGTTCAATGGCTACTTTTACAAGCTAAAGTTCACCTATGGCAGAAAAAACAGCTCTGGTTTGGGCTCTAGCAGCAGCAACGAATTCCCTTCCCAAGCAGCAGCTCCAACTACCAAAAGCCAAGAGCTTGGGAGAGCTAGTAGCTACCCCAGGCCCATCCCTTGAGGCTTGGCTACCTCCCTTTTATCTCATTTACCCAATCAGCAGTGCTTCCTAGCAACTCAATGGGAAAAAATTCCACAAGTATAAAAGGAAAGAAACCCAACCCCCAACGCTGGCCTTGGGCACTGCCAGGGATCCAGAGGCAGCCACAGCTTCTCTAGGCACCCTCTGCCAGGGCCTGCCCACCCTGCCAGGGAACAATTCCTGCCCAATATCCCATCTAAATTTCCCTTCTTTCACTGTGAAGCCATTCCCCCTTGTCCTAGCACCCCAGGCCCTTGCAAAATGTCCCTTGTAAAAAGTCACTTTACTCTTTAAAGTGATTATTTTGCCACATGAATCTTTACATTTAAAATGAGCCAGGTTTAGCTATATCCTGAATTTTCCTGGTTTTGTCTTGGAAACCCGCAGGCTTTTATCAAATAAGATAGCCAGCTTCACTGACCATCTCTGCAAAACATGTCTGTTTGAAATCCATCATCACAGCTCTTCCCCATTTTCCCTTCATTCCCCCAAGCCGCAGGTAGTTTCCTGCACATTCAGAAATCTATGCAGTGTAACCTGGGGGTTCAGGATGAATGGGGGGAGAATGGGATCTCGGTTGGGTTGTGATTGTCTGCTGGAGCTAAACCAGACCTAGGGCTACATGTGGTTATTCCACTTCAGCCACTCCACTGTTGGAGCAATGCAAGATTTCTTTGGTTTGGTTTTAAAGGATCCCTTTTTGCTCAACAAATAAAAGCTGTATCAAGGTGAAAGCCACTTTAATTATTAAATTATTAGTACTAATCTCTTATTATTGTTATTATGTTGTTGTGCCAAGGGAGGCTCAGGTTGGACACCAGGAGGAATTTCTGCATGGAAAGGGAGGTCAGGCCTCAGCAGGGGCTGCCCAGGGAGATTTGGAGTCCCCATCCCTGGAGGTGTCCCAGGAAGGCCTGGACATGGCACTGTGTCCAGTGCTCTGGACAGTGCTGTGGGCTGGGGACAAGGTGGGGACTGGGCACAGCTGGGACTCCATGGTTTTGGAAGACTTTTCCTACCCTTAAGATTCTATGATTTTATAAAATTAAATATTCTATTATTATATTATCAAGTCAGACAGTTATACAATAACTTTGGAAAAAAGTTGTGAATATGGAACCACACAAGATTGTGGAGCAATACCCAGGGAAATAACCGTGGAAATTTCCCTTCACATACTTGAATATTGGTCTAGATTTACTCTGAAGAGTGGAACACTTTTGTTACCACCAGGTAAATGACCTCTAGGAGTGTTTTTTGCCTCTCACCACCGAGTAGACACAATGTAAGCAAAGTGTTCATGTGTGGTAGTAAGTGCCCCAATCCCGTGACTGTGTGCCTAAGCACAGGCAAGGGCAAGCTGGGCTCTTGGACACGTTTACTCCAGGTCTGAGGAGCAAAGAAGGAGGGAAAATATAGAGTGGTGAGAGGCTGAGTGTGACTGACTGCTTCAGCAGAACAAGGGGCTCTACGTGGTCAGGCTGGGAATGGTGTTCCATTGGCAGAAATGCCAGAAGGAAGTTCCAGTGCAAGTCGTGCTGATATATTCCGTGGGTAATTGTTGTGAGATGCCTCAGGGAGGCAAAGATTTGGTTTCAGATAAGCATTGTTAAAGTGAGAGGTGTGTCCCCTGACCCTGAACTCCACCCTGGTTCTGTCCCTCAAAACCCATCACCCTTCTGCTGTTCCGGGCTGTCTCTGGATCTGAGTTTGTTCCCATGCTGAATAAATGGTTTCCTGAGCAGAGCCCATCTCGTTGGTGTCCCATGCTGGTTCCTGGTAACTGTAACTTCTCTGGAAGTGATCCTGCAGCTGCGGAACGCAACAGATTAGAGGATTCTGCTTTAGGAATGCCCAGGTCCAAATCCAGCCCCACCTCACCATCCCTGGCACTGGGATGGGATCAGCACTTCACCTTCCTAACCCCTGGCCTCTCTGGCATGCTTGGAGCAGGATCTGTGCCATTGCAGGGGTTCATTTATCCCAGCAGGTCTCTGTCTCTGCTCTGAGCCCCAGTACCGCCGCAGTCCAAACACAAAATGAAAACAGCAACATAACCAAGGAGCAGGGCAGTTAAATGAAGTAAAGACCTAATACATGCCACATTTTAACTATTTGCTCTAATCACACAGTTCAGAAGAGGTCATTTCATTGACAGTGGTTTGATTATTTGGTTGTAATAGACAAAGCTTGAGTTTAGTTTACCCTCCAGGATAAAAAAAACAGGTCAGCTTTTCATTAACCAAAAAAAAAAGTTATTTAAAAATTGTTGAGGTATGTTAGACCATTAATAGCAGGATCCTAAGCACAGTTAAGTAGGTGAGAAATCAGTTACTAAGAGGAAGTAGGCCAGTAAAACGTCGTGAAATTATTAAACCCGTCTCTAATTAATGGAAATTCTGCATCTGTTTTATTCACATATGATACAGTTTATGACTTCTTGATTGTTTATCGTTCCTCTTTCCAGAACTTTGAAGTTGCACCGTGTGCAGCCTGGTACATTGCCATCTAAAATAACTCTCATTTGTTAATAAGGCCAAGTGATAAGGTGATTCTTACCCTTTTGATAAACTTCTATTGAAATCTGTTATGTCTGTAAATCCAAACAGAGCTTCCTCTTTATTCTGATTTTTTTTAAACTCAGACTATTGGTCAGAAACAAAGCTGTTGCTTCTTTTTTTGCTAAACAGCAGTAAATGTTCTCCTGCTGCCTAAAGAACTAAAATATAACTGAAATTTAAAATATAACTGAAAACTGCGTTCCTCTTTTAGTGTCTGAAATTCTTAGTGGCTGCTTTGAGCTGACATTCCCTTGCCACCAACCATGCTTTACTTGGAAGGAGAAG